CTGCTGATGTGCAGTGATTAGTGCTTGCCTCTGCATAAAACTAGATGTGGCCTTCTCTCAGATAAAGTAAAATCATGTATTTGAGAAATAAGCTCTGCACATTTCCCCTTTACAAGGAAAATAGAGCAAGCAATAAAAAATACTGGCGAACAGTGGTAAGGCACTTTTGCAGAAATTTGAGGAATTTTTGATTCAAAAAATCTTCCTTCTCATAGGCATGCTGTAAAAATAAACACACTATTTCTGTAGGATTTACCAACTACAGGGATCAATGCTGAGAAAAGCCTGTAGGAAACTAGCCTTTTCGGATATCAGGAAGCATATTCCAAAAGTAAATCAAAAGTGGTCATAAGCTGACTGGTGAGAATAAAATTAAATGCTGGTCAGCTGTTTCCCTACTTCGAGATGGTCCCTTTTGCTCAGCTAGAAAGCTGATACTCTCTCAGGAAACCTCAATGACCTTGTAGCATCCACATAAAGGACCTGATGCCCCCAGTGGGCTCCAGTTCCTGTGTCCCAGGGACATCCATAATCCCAGAAGCAGCCAGACCAAAATGGATCAAAGTGGCACAAAAATCCAGTGCTTCCTGCGCCAATATCCAAGCAATGTCACGTTACAGAGATCTAGCTTGTTTGACAGCTGGGCTATGCCCTGGGACCCAGCAGACAGAGGTGGGGGGTTTCTGATGTGAAGCTACCCTTCCTGCCCTCTCCTTTCAAGGGGGATGTGGATACAGGGCTAGATTTAACTGGAAGTACAATAAATACAATCATCATGTATGCATAAAGACTTCAGGGAAGTCCGTAACAAAGACATGAAGGGTATGTATACAGAACATGCCCCTGTAAAACACTGCTAAGGAGGTATTTTTCAGACAAAATACAGTCACAGTGAAATGGTTTACCTAATGCTAGAAACAGCAACCCACACAAACAATCCTCATGAAAACAAAGCGGGATTCCAAAATATTTTTGAAACTTGTCTAAATATTTTTTTCCAGGTTATGAAATTACTTCGCTTCCCTGGCTTTCAGCCATTGTCTGTACCAAGCCCATTTGCATAGGTTTATCCAATTTTTCAGCCATTATCCCATAAAACCTTCATCTTTGCATTTTGTAATTACAGTTTGTTCCAAAACCTAGGGACAGTCTGCATGAAATTAAACTGAGACACTTTTCTCATATCATAGCCTAACCAGCCTACAGTATTCTGGAAACAGAAATAAAACATCCTTAGCACAATGACATGTTTGTTCACAGTCATTTTGGGGGGGGTACTGGTAAAAGCCATTCCTGAATGCCAGAGTATTTTCATTCATGCAGTATTTCTGTAAAACCTAATACTCCCTCTCTAAATGTAAATTTTTAGGGTAAATTAATTTTTTATAACAATATCCACTTGCAAAAGAAGAAAAACATTTTAAAGTTTTCAGCCACTATTAAAACTTCTAAGTGCCACACTTAATTTTAAAGAACTGCTTTTAAAAATCCTCATATAATATAAGACAAACTCACAGTCAAGACAAACTCTTGGATCCCTACAAAAAAACCCCACAGTGTTTAGAAAAATCACAGTGTTTTAAGTGCTAGAATTTGACAAGTAGCAGAAACACTATCAAGAGTACAAAACAAGACTCAGGAAGTACAATTCAACTTCAAATTGAATTGCAATTAATTTAATTGGATAAATACTTAAAAGAAGAACCTGCACACATCAGGCAGCTGACAACAGACACCTCACAGTACAGCTGAACACAGAAGGGAGAGACTTTGGAGAAGATAAAGACCACTTAGTGACTGCCCAGTTTTTACACAGTGTGCAACTTCCCTTCTGGATTATCTGTGATTAAGGGAACCAGTTCTTACATTTCCTAGACACCTGTTACAATCATGACTTGTTTTCAAGCCTGATGTCACACATTTCTCAAAGTTAGCATCAGGGCACCAAAGTAACGTCCAGTTTAAGGGGCGGGAGAACCGGAGGTGACACTGCTTCACAAGGAAGGAACATCCCACACAAGAGCTCACCCACTGCTATGCGGGCAGCCCAAACACACATCCCTGCTTGGCACCTTTGTCCTACTAAAAACAACACAGCACCTTGTAAACTGGCACTGTGCCATTCTGACAGATGGACTTAAGTGTAGGCAGCCAAGAGACTATGTATAAGCATCAAATATGTTTTTTGAGAGGAGGACTTCCAGCCAGGAATGTTAAAACAGCTGTCCACATTGAACTTGCATGCCTACACTTAAGAGGATATACTATCGCCACTCGAGCCCTGAGCTGGATTAACTTGGAAAATAAATAAGATAGCTTCCACAGCCACATAAGGTGAGTTTTTGCAGAATCAGGATTAGTGATACTCAGGGGGGGCTTTACTGACCTACTATTAGTGGGCACACTTGCAGGGTCAAAAAGCTCATCAGTTCTGAAGCTCAGTGAACCTTTTATCAGGTGTACACTTATATATATTTATCTTCCTTTGGAAGAAAAACATAGAATGCAATACCAGCATGACTATGAACAAACATGTAAGTGACCTCCCATCTTGTGTTAGAGGATACTTTTTTATTAATTAGGTGTCCTCACTCAAACACATGTATCTGTGAGACTGGGACCTGTTTCCCTGGATTTTCATCTCTTTTTAAAAAATCAACTGCCATGGCCTACTCCAAGACCTTTTGTTAGCCCATGCCTCCACACAGACATACATTTTGGCATCACTTGCATAGTTTTCCCCAGTAATAGAATCACACCACCTGGAGAACCAGGCATTGCATAACACAGGATGTGTGGTGGCAGGCTTGCAGAGCCATGCCCAGGCCACTTCTATGCCATCCCTGCACCTGGCTGAGCTGTCTGCTGCCCACAAATCCCTCTCCTCAAGGACATTCAACATTCCAAACCATTGAGAAGATCCAATAAAAACATGTTTGCTAGCATCAACATGCCAAACCATGTTCTTTTTCTTTCTCCCCCAAAAACTCAGATTTTACTCCTGCCCCTCAAAAAGTCACTGGCCTGAACCTGAAGTGAGGCAAATACTTAAACATTAACAACTTAAATGCTTCCTCAGAACTCCACACCATTTAAAAAAGATAATGCCAAGATTTCCAACATTGCTTCTAGCCCTGAGTGGCTTCAAGACTGAACGGAGGTGATAGTACATTTTATTCAATATTTAAACACACTTTGTGTTCATTTTAATTCTCCCTGTGGTCACAATCAAATCACAGGCATAAATTTTTCACATACCCTGTAGCTGGGTGTACTCATCTTAGCTCTCTTGAATCACTAAAAATGAACTTCGACTCTACAAGGGTCCTCCCAGGATAGATCAAAGCTGCCTTCAGTGTCTGGCAGCAGCCACAGGGTCACATGGAGTCTACCCAGCTGCTGATGCCTTTTACCTTTGTTAAGTTCGCTGCAATTAAAGTTACCTGAGTCATTCCATTACTATTTCCTGTGCTAGAGGCGCATCAGTGGTAGGCATCATTTCTCCTGCACAGTGAGGATTTCCCCCCATTGACCTTGCCTTCCCCTTTGCTGAAGAAAGATTTCCGCCTCTCTCACCGTTCACCTCTTTTACCCTTCATTCCTCACCTGCAGCATTTCCTTTTCTTTTTTCGTTTTTGAGGACTCTGTGAGATCACCTACTCGCAAAAGTTCCAAACTACAATTTAGTAACCTCCGTAACGAGATGCTTTGTTTTTTCATGCTGCCAATAAAGTCAATGCTAGGTTAATCTTAATTTCCATATCACTTAACCTTTCTCAGACAGGAGAAGAGAGGCAAAAATCACTCTGTCAAATACTTCATCATGCAGACTAGCAATGCAGTGAATACCTCTCCCTCCTTCCAAACACCTGCAGTGCCCCAGGCTTTTTCAAGACACTGCACACAGACTGCACATGGCTTTCAAACAGTTCAGGGAACAGTCAAATTGCCAGACAACAGGTCAAAAGGAATAAAACCACTGATCCGGATCACTACTTTTGTTCAGTAAAGTAGTTACACACACCCTCCACAAGCGTGTAACTTCCATAAATGTGTGTTTTACATACAATTATTATCTCCATGGCTATCCTAAAGCCAAAGAAAATTGAACTGCAAATGGTAATGCTGAGTATCCAAACCCCCTTCACAGCCCCTGAGACCCCTAAGTGCCTCTACTTATTTGAAAAGAATTTGAAGGGTATGTGCAGTTCATTTCCTACAGAAGCAGCTAAGGTGCTAATGCAAAGTCAGGGAGCAGTTAATCTTCTTACACATTACACAGACTATCACGATCAAACTCCAGTAAAGTTTAGTACCCAGTTACCTGAGACCTGTACCTACTGAAAAACGTATGCCAGATTGGACTCTCATTTCGTTGTGCTCCTTGAGCTGCCCTAACCAAACTCAACCCTGAAGGTTTTACATGCTGGTTTATCAGTGAGCTTTTAACTCTGGGATGCCAGATGATGTATCACTGTCACTCAAAATTCATTGCTAGTTCAAGGAAAATGAATTCTGGAAAAGTAAAATGAAGCATGCCAAAACCCTCTCAAAGTGCTTATTGAGAATTAACATTATAGAGACTTTAGGCTAAAGATACAGCAACCAGAATTTAGAAATACAAAGCTTCTGTGTTAGCAAAAAGAAACTTTAAAGGGCAGGGCAAATTTTAACACTGCTTTCTGAAAAAGTCACCAGCTACTGCCAAGTGCTGAAACGCATTAGAGAAGACAACTTTCTCTGTTGTTCCATTACCCGTGCAAGAGGGTGTGAGTACAACTGCTTTTAGGCACACTGCGTTAGCTTTACCCATTACTACTGTTCACCATGCCACAAAACATTTTAAAACAGGAGAGCATGGCAATTTTACTTCAAAAGGTCATTTGAAAAGGAAAACTCAGCAGATGATGTTCAGCAGGACTAAGGCAGAAGTACCTGTAACTGGCCCCTCAGCGAGATCTGGGGTTCAGCAAAGTACCCAGGTACTTAAGTTGCCTTACCTAGGTAAAGCGAGGCGTTTTCTTTCTTGACATTGTCATCTAAGTAGGTTGGTCCCAAAGTATAGATGGGTGTCGAGCCCATGCCAATGAGGATTTGGGCACAAATGAATAAAGCTACATAGAGAGAGTGGTCGTTTCCACCGGTGTCCTTGACGCAGGCCGACGAGTCCCACTGCTCTTTGGCAGTGCCATTGCCAGCCACGCACAAGCCCTCGTTACTGACGGAGGAGTTCAGTTCCTGGATCTGGTACGGCGGAGAGATGAAGTGAGGTAAGGAGAAGAGCGCAGCGCCCAGGGCGATGAAAAGCCCCCCTACGGCCAGCCAGAGCGGCCTCCGCCCGCGACCCCCGAAGTAGCTGATGAAGACCACCACCACCAGGCTCCCGATATCGAAGCAGCTGACCAGCAGCCCCGACTCCGAGCTCTTGAGGCTGTATCTCCGCTCGATGGTGGTGATGACGCTGCTCAAGTAGCCGGAGACCATGAGGGACTGGATGAAGGTCAGGAAGCACATGCACACCAGGAAGAAGCGCGAGTCCGCCAGCACTGCCCGCAGGCACGCTCTGCCCGGGGGTCCCGCCAGCAGCAGCGCCGGCGGCGGCGGAGGCAGCAGCAGCGGGGGGCCCAGGGATACCCCTCGGCCGGGCGCCGCCGGCTGGCTGCCCTCCGTCTTCCGGGGGAAGCTCCCGCTACCGCTGGCAGCGGCGGGGAGCCGTCCAGCCTCGGCGACGGCGGCGGCGCCCTCGCCCCGCTCGGCCTCGGGAGCCGGTCCCGCGGCGGGGCGGCCGCTCCGCCCCGGGGGGCCGCTGCTCCGGGGTCCCCGCCGAGGCCATGCTGGGTCCGGCGGCGGCCTCAGAGGAGCCCGGCCGGCTCCATCGCTGCCGTGCGTCGAGTCCGCTGAGGGGCCCGGCGAGAGCGCAGCATAGCGATGAGGGGAGGAGGGAGGGGAGGGGGGTGGCCCTAGCCGCGGCCGCCGGCCGCCCCGCCGCACGTGTCAGCCAAACTCCTTTGTGGCTCCATCCACCCTCAGTCTCGCTCGAGGGGCCGCCCGCTCGCCGGGGCGCCCGCGCTGCCGGCGGCTCCCGCTCCCCGTCGCCGCATGCCCGCGGCGCCGCGCTCAGCAGCCGCCCGCCGGGGCCCCGCGGACAGCCTGTCCGCCGCGGGGCAGCGCCGCCCGCTCCGCCGCCCGCATCCTCCTCTCCTCGCCGCCGACGCCGGTGACGGAGCTCCGGGGGGTCGCTGCCGATCTGCGGGGCGGAGAGCAAGCACGGGAGGTCAGCGGCGTCGGCTCCAGCGGCCCCGTCCCTCCCCGACGCCCCGGCCTCTGCCCGCCCGACCCCGCGGTCTGCGCTGAGCTCCGGGGAGCGCCTCTGTCCCCGTCCCCGCGGGGGCTGGATCACGGCAGCGCCCCGGGGACCGCGCGTCCTTGGGGACGGCACATGGATTTACATAAGAGCTGGGGCGGCCTCGGCCAGAGCGCGACCCTTTTATTTGGCGCCGGATGCGACAGCCAAAGGTCGCCGTGCCAAGCCTTTTATTTTCTAGCCTAAAAATAAATGCGCTGAAATAAATACTCCGCTACAACTCGGTGGCCCGGGGAGCGGCGGCAGGCGGAGGGAAGGGAAACAAAGCAGGAGCCGGGCAGCGGCGGCGGCGGGCACCCCGGGACCCGGCAACCCGGGGCCGACCTCGCCGCCCCAGCTCGCTCGGGTGCTCCCCGGGACCGCCGGGTGCAGAGCGGTGCCCAGACATCCCTACCCCGGCAGCGGAACACGCCTTTTGCCTCCTTTGTCCGCTTTTGTCTCCCCGCCGCCTCCTGCTCGCTGCGGCCCCGCGGAGGGGTGGGCGGGGGAGGCAACGGCACCCGGGCAACCGCGCCCCGGCGGCGGATCTCCCCCACCCCCAGAGGCTCGCCAACGGGCAGGGCGGCGGAGCCGGCGGGGCGCTCCGGGCTCTCCTCCCGGCCGCCGCGAAGAAAAACGACGGGACTACTCACCGAGCGTGCGGCGCCGGGGGCGGCCGGCCCGGGCCCTGCGCCCCCGCCCCGCCTGTCACCCAACGCCGGGTTCCCCTCGGCCGCCTCCGCCTCCCCGGGCGCCGGAGCGCAGGCGCGCCCGCCGCCGGGCCGGGCGATGCCGCCGGGCGGTCGCGTGCCCTCCGAGCTGCCCTACCGGCCCGCGGTTACCCGGCTGCACTCCCTCGGCACGGAGGCCGCAGCCCCCGCGGGACGGTGAGCCCGGCGGCGGGGCACGCCTTGGGGTCTGCCCCGGTCGGTGCCCTTGCTCAGCCGTGGAACTGCTGAGGGCTGCAACTCCTGGCTGAGAAAGTCCGCGGAGCGCCACGGTTGACAGCCCCGGGCGGCGTTTAGGATGCTTGGGATGGTGTTGCATCGCCTTGTGTAAAAAGCGGAAATACTCGTAAGACGGAACCTCAAATACATCGTCTGCTGAAAAGTGAGAAGTACTAAGGGATGATTTAAAAATTTTTTGTCTTAAGGAAAATAGATCACCTGATGATCCTTTTTGTCCAGGAACTTATCTGCAATGCAAACCATCTTCAAAACTGGGAGCACATGCAAAATGTGGGAAAAGTAGTTCGGAGTTAAGTCCTCATAGAGTTTTCTCCTAATTCCCTTTTTTAGGTTTTTGTAGTGTCTTGAATTGCACTGGTTTGTTTTGCTCTCAGGTCCTTGTATGTAAAGCCCTAGTAGCAGAATAAGGCTAAATAGTCCTGCAAATTATTTGTTGTGACGTGCTGGAGTGTGAACTATTGAGGTATTTGTCTTTTCCATAAAATAATGCAAAGGAATACACCAAAGAAGCATAATAACGTACACATTTATGAATAGTTAGTGCTCTTCTGGCAGGATGGAAGATTTACCATTGATTTGTTTCTCCTCATTTAAAAAAGTATTTAAGACTGACTCATCACTTTTTTTTATTTTTTTTTTTTTTACTTATTTATAGTCTGGATCAATAAGATCATGCCATATCATATTCATGAAAGATACCATCTTCAAGTTTTCTGAAGCTGTTATCCAGAGGTATTTTGGTACCTCTTTGTACTCACTTAACACTCCAACTGCTCAAACTCAACACAGCCAAAACAGTATCTTTATTTTGTTTGGTTGGTTTTCAGCCACATTTTTCCTGTTGAGAAGGCGTCCCAAGTTTAGCGCTTGTTTAGGCCTTAGTTTTATTATTACCTTAGGATTAGGAATCTTTCAAAACTCATTCTAATGATTCCTTCTTGCTACATAAGGTGCTTACGACAATTTATTTTATTTCATTACCCCACAGCTAGTTGTTATCACTGCAACTCCTCTCTCCTGCCTCTTCCACTGTCAGCTTCCCATGGCCACAGCTTCTGTCACTGCAGCTCTGGCACTCACTTCAGTGCACAGTAAGCTGAATAAACTCACTGAGGCAGCAGAAAACCAATCCAAGGGGGAAAAAAAAATGTTTTGCTGGTTTTATGAGCTGAATCACTTCACCAAGGATAGGAGCACAAGAACTTGAAAACAAAAGTATAAATGGAAAAAAAAATAGGTCCATGAAGATAGAGGAAAGAGGATAACCCATTTCAACAAAAACAAGCTCTTAATTCAACTCCATCTTCTAACTGAGCCATCCCTGAAGACATACATGTAATTCACCTGCTAGGCAGTATCCCTTCAGTCACTCCTTTGCACTTGAACTAGTACATGAACTAGTAACTGCAGTTTGTGAGTCTAATGGATCATATATATCTATATGGCACCTCAGTGCTGGGTTCTGTCCTTGATTCACAGTAACCCCATGCAGTGCCACAGGCTTGGGGAAGAGTGCCTGGAAAGCTGCCTGAAAGAAAAGGACGTGGGCGTGCTGGTGAACAGCTAGTTGAACATGAGCCAGTGTATGCCCAGGTGGCCAAGAAGGCCAATGGCATCCTGGCTTGTATCAGCAATAGTGTGGCCAGCAGGACCAGGGCAGTGACTGTCCCCCTGTACTCTGCGCTGGTGATGCTGCACCTTGAGTGCTGTGTTCAGTTTTGGGCCTTTCACTGCAGGAATGACATGGAGGTGCTGGAGAGTGTCCAAAGAAGGGCAACAGAGCTGAGGAAGGGTCTGGACCACAAGTCTCATGAGGAGCAGCTGAGAGAGCTGGGATTGTTCAGCCTGGAGAAAAGGAGGCTGAGACCTTATCGCTCTCTACAACTACATGAAGAAGGTTGTATCCAGGTGGGGGTCAGTCTCTGCTCCCGAGTAACAAGCGATAGGATGAGAGAAAATGGTGTCAAGTTGCATCAGGGGAGGTTTAGATTGGATATTATGAAAAAATTCTTCACCAAAAGGATTGTGAGGCATTGAAAAAGACTGCTCAGGGAAGTGATGGAATCACCATTCTTGGAGGGATTTGAAAGACATGTAGATGTGGCACTTTGGAACAGGGTTTCATGGTAGACCTGGCAGTGCTGAGTAACAGTTGGACTCAATGATCTTAAAAGTCTTTTCCAACCTAAACAATCAGCTTTGGGATCTTGTTCTATGACTAGGATTCCTAGCCACTGTTGTGTAAAGCTCACAATAACTTGTGAGATTGCAGAATAACAATAAATACACAAAAACTTTCTCCAATCCCATGGGAAAATATAAGGGCACAGCATTCCCAGTTTCACAGCATTTGCAGACATTTTCAGTTACAATTTCAATTCTTTCCACAGTGGCAAACCTGTCAAGAGAGAAGCTTGCTGATAGGACTATGTGAAGATGTTTGTTTTGGGAAGTTATTCCACCAGACTACAGGTTTTAAATGTTTGGCTTCCCTGCTCACTTTTGGGTCTGAATACTTAAATAACGGGTTGGCAGTCAGGTATGAGCATCCAGCACCAAGTGATGAATGGAAAATCAGTATTACTTTCCTCACTTGACAGGTTGATTACAGAAGGTGCAACAATGGTACCCAAATTCACGATAAAATAAAATTGTATAAAACTTATCATACAAAATTTCTCCTTTTAAGTTTTACCATAGTGAATTTAAAATACACAATGTCTCTCAAGCACAAAGCAACCAATTGGTACTGCAGACCAGCCTCTTTATGCCTAAAACTGCAAAAGAGCATAGTTCCCGTTTTGCTAGATTAAGGACATGGGCTGATATCCTATTTTGATTTATCTGTGTTAATGAAAGACATAAAGTCAGGACTAGTGAAAGGCAGGCCCTTCATCCTAAGAGTTCCTAAGTTCCAGCTGACAACCTCCTTCCCTCGTGGGATGCCCTGCTGAGGTGGCAAGTGGTCACAGGGTGCTCTCAGCTGCTGTTCTGTGAGGGACAGGACCTTAACCCACAGCTTGGTCTCATGAACTGATCAGGTTAAAAAGAGAGGGTACCACAGCTACCAAGGCACCACCTTTTTAAGGTCACCCTTTGGTTGCTGGCAGTTTTGAGGCTTTACATGTCCTTGATGGTTCAGGGAGCTGGTGATGCCCAAGAGGTACCTCAGCCTAGTCTATTTCAGGCCACAAAGAGAAGAAAAACTCAGCTGAAGGGTGGCATGAGTTGATGGCTCTGCTTTTCCTTCAGTGTTTCACATTTCCAGCCAGGTTTTCTACTAGATGAAATGTCACAAATACAGTAAATCAACACACTTGTCTTTCTTCCCCTTTTCCTTCACACTGCTGCCATTTTTGGGCAACATATTGTCTTCATTCCGAGCCCAATATTAGTAAAAGAATCAACAAAACAGCATGTGCATTAGGAGGCTAAAGGACTTTAGATTCTCCTGGAGCACGAGCACTGGGAAGCATAAAGCAAAAGGACAAGAAGTGTCACTCCTCGGGGACCCTCACCAAGCTAGTGTCCTAATGAACTCCCAAGGGCAGCTCACTGCTGGGAGAGAGCAGCTCGTTATTTTTATTTCAGATGTCAGAGAGAGCACTTGTAACAGCAGATCCTGTATTAAAGAGCTCGTTTAGTACAAGAAATGAGTTTAACTGCAGTCAGATACTGTTGGGAGACATCCACATTAACGTTTGTTGGTCTCCAGAGAAGAACTAGCTGCAGTCTCATGAATGAAATAAAGAAACCATGAATGCCAGGGAGGTGCAAAGTGATAGGGGAAAGGGAAAGGAAGAGAAGAGAAAATCTCAGAAATAACGGTTGAACTTAGAGGTGACAGCCATCAGTATTAACACTGTACATGTCACAGAAGAAAGGACTATGTTTTCTCACTGAAGTCCTTCTTCTCCCTTATAAAGGTCTGCCTCTGCCATGCACTCCCATGCAGGCAGCAGCCCCAAGAAGTGCAGTGGGGCCAGAGCAGTGGGAACAGTGGGTTCAGTTGTCATCCAGGAATCATCAGGCATGGAGAGGTGGAGAAGTAGCTTACATCAGGGTGGGGCCCAGTCAGAAGCAGCAGGTGATAAGAACACCTGGTCAGGGAGAGCTCTGACGTGCCTTGCTGTTACAGGGCTGAATCCAGCGCTATGCCAATAACATGGGCTCTCCTTTGTGGGCCTAACAGCAAGATAAATCCCATGCCACCTATATTAGTCATAGCAATGGTTTTATAGGGCTTACTGTTTTATTTTAGAATATGCAGAGTCTCAGGAAGTTACAGTGAATCTGCTTGAGATAATTTTAACAGTTGTGTTCAAAATTAGACTTTCCTTCTCAAGCAAAAGCCCAATGTGTGTGCCTAAAAAAGCTAGGCAAACATCTTAAAAGTGGGCCTGACTCTGTTATTTATGTCAGTCTCCTATGCAAACACACAGAGAAAACCTCTTCTTTTGAAAAATAAACTGAAGTGTAATAAGTGTCAGGTTTTATACATAAGGAGTGTAAAGAATAAAATAAAATTGTAAAAATATAAAGCATAAAAGACACGAGAAGAAGTGAAAACATATTTTCTTTTTATACATACCATTAACTTGAGATCATATTGATAAATGCTAAGTAACAAAATAGGAGGCAGGGGCAGGAAGAGACTCTAATTCCCAATCTTGCAACATGTCAGACTCTGCTAGGAATTTGTCTGGTGGGGCAGGTAAGGGGGGGCTGATGCAGGAAGGTTTCAGAGTCAGCACAGAACCTTAATCTGGGCAGTATCTCAGGTCTGAGGAAAGCAGTGAGGGCTTCATCCATCGAAGGAGAGGAGCCAGCCCTTTCCTCCCCTCTGGAGCCAGCCAGGCTGGAACCCCTCACTCAAGCACCACAGGCTCTGGGCAGCTTTGAGCCACCGCTCATCCTGCAGCACAGTGCTGCACTCTAGCCCCAAGCAAGATATATCTAAAGGCAGATAATCCACCAGCTAACCATCAAAGATATCTTTTTTTCCCAAGTTATTTACAAGCGAGACACACCAGATCATTGAACACATACTTTGTTAGGAATGTGTGCAGAGCCATGGTAGCCTAGCGGCAATAAGATGAGAGGTGATATATGCAAAGACACATTTGGTGCCTGTAATTGTTTCCCAAGCCCTACACCTCTGGTTTTAAACCTTTTTTTTTTCCTACTGCCTTACTTACTTTCCTACTTGCAAAATCAGGCATTAGGGAGGCATGAGATTCCAGACAATTTAAATGGGAGAGGAAGAAGAGAGCTGTACTGTGCCTTTCAGTGTGATTTCACTCTTTGTGTTCTCACCTTTCCTTGAATGTCCCAGTCCCTCTACTACATCCTGCTTTTGAAATGATATAAACATTCATCCAAAACTGTGAAAGCATTGTTTGAACCTAGGATCAAAGCCATGAGCAAAGACTAAACCAGACTTCCCTCTCACTCATTCACAAAGATATCGTTTCTTAGTATCCACCACTTTATTCCAATGTCACCTTCCAATGGCCCTTTGGCAAAAGTTCTGTATTTATATATAAGCTAGTGCACTTATGTTTGGCTAATAAATGCATTATGACCTTAACCAACCTTAAACATTATTCTTCTCTCTAAACTTACATGCTTTTACATGTGCTAGTTTTAAATGTTAAGTGACAAAATCAAAATACTTGGAAATAACTGCTTGAATTCTTTGCTCAAATGCACATTCAAAATCCATATTAGCATAGAACATTTGCTCATTGTTTTTTTCCCCCCACCTGATCATTAGTTTCTCTCAGGGGAAACACACTGGCAACATCACAAAATAGCAGTGCCACAATAGAAGAAACATGGAAGAATGCCAGTGAGTAAAAATATCCTCCCCAAAAGCTAGTACACAGGAACACAAATATATCTGGGAACTCCTGGGTCATTATCCCCCAAGGCCAGTCACCAGGACAGGTTTTTAGTGGGGCACAGCCTCACCACAAACATCAGTATCTTCAAAATATAGGGGGTTTAGTACAAAATACCAAAAAACCCACAAAATCTATATTGCACCATTAAACAGCAAACGAGAAAAAAACCTGTTTCATTGCCAGTAAATCTACTGTGTGTCTAGAGGTAGACATGTCAAAGGCATTTTCCTGGCCCCTGCCAATGTCTGAATTGGTGCTCCAAGGTGTCACCCAGCAAGTCACCTCTAATGGGAATCAGCAATGTGCCACTTAGAATCAGCACTTCTGCCTTCACACAAAGAGAAAGAGCATTTGTCCAGATAAAGTACATGCCATTCAGAATCGATATTTTTAAATAAAGTCATGAGCAAGTTTAATTAGAGAGTAGCAATAAAGTAATTTAACATTGATGAACAGAGAAAAAGGTAGCACAAAATAAGAGTAACACAAGAAAGAGTAATGAGAATAGACTCTTGTGAAACACTGGCGTCTAAAATTTGATTTAATATAATCAGTTCAGTAAATCCGAGAATATAAAAAACATTCTTCAATTGCCAGTAGAGAAGCTGGCTCCTTCCTGTTTCAGTAGACCTGAAAAGGGAGAAAACTGCTGCAATGAAGAGAATTATACTCTGAGAGAGAGAATTGTACCGAGATAAGTCCATAAGATTTCTCCTACCGACCTCTGGAATGGTAAAGCCATTTCAAAGCCCTTAGGCTACTGTGCACCCCCATACTTAAACCAAATTCTCTACCTAGAATATGAAAACCAGAAAGGAATGTAGCAAGCTATTTACAATTACCCAGTCTGAAGCAATACAGTGTAAAAGGAGTTACAAAAAGCTAGCCAGGAAAGCAGCTGGTAAATAGGTACCAGTGTTCAAAACAAATTCAGGCCAGATATGAGAGCAGGGTTTTGTTGGGTTTTAGGAAGAATAATTTGCCCAGTAAGGCATATTTTGTAGCCTTAGGGTCCCTATACAAATAAAACAAGCAGATCTCTTAGAGGAATGCATGCAAAATTGTTCTGAAGTTATGTGTTTATTATTATAAGGCTGAAAAAAGGACCGAAGGAAATGCTTTAAGAGGAACCATATGCTGAAGCATTATTCACCTTTTATCCTCAAAAACATGTTTTTTATGTGGGCATTCTGAAGGTTCATTTCAACAAGGAGTAGTCACTGAAGCTGCTGACCTAAGAAAGCTTTTAGGCATGGCAGTCGTGGAGGCTTATTTATGAAATCCATCAGTAAATTTAAACACTGCAGCCTCCCATTCCATGTTAAAGACTACCCTACTATTGTCCTGAGCTCTGATCTGTGTGGCCCAAATTGTCTTCCGAGTTAAAAGAAAAAGTGATTCTCTGTGGTTCAGGAAAATACTTTTGGGTTTGTCCTACCCATAGGGCTGAGGTCAGCCACGTAGCTGTCACCGAGCATGAACACAGACTTTAGTCCAGTGTTCATTGCTTGGGCAGGGACTGGGGAACCTTGTTGCACTGGAACTGAAGTGAGAGGCAGCACAGCAGAGATGTGACTTGATCTGATGGGTCCTACACGCCACAGGGACTGGCATTTTTAGTGTTCCCCACGAGGGACAGGTGGACATGCGTTGGGCTGAGGGGATACCTTCTCAAAGAGGGAAAAAAAGCTAGCCCCACTGTTTCTCCAGAGAATCTCCTGCCCTCAGTGTCATACTTCAGATGCCACTGTGTACTCCAGATGTGATCCAGCTGTCTCATTGCTGTAAAGAAGAGGAAGGTTATTGTTCCAGTGCTTCTTTAAATTATAATTACCTTTAATTATCTAACCTAACTCACCAGCCTGTGCAGTTCTTCAGCTTAGAGTCACAGACACTTGTAAAATATTTATTGTCATGACATTTTGGGGAAGACCTATTCTAATTTTAGCTTTAGTGAGCGGGTTAAATCCTAGCAGGAAAGTGGGAAATACCATCTGGAGTAGTGAGGCATTGCCAGACCTCAGCACTTCTGCAAATACAGTTTCCATGCAACTGTGAAGGGAGGAGACTTTATCTGCTCCTTTTCTCCACTCACCCCAGCTGGAAATATGGTCCTGGCCTGGATACCAAGTACATGTTATTTTCTCTGTTATATCTGTGGCCAATAATACAACTTGCAAAAAAGTTAGGGACCAAGCAGTACATGAAGGCTGTTGACCCAAGTTTGCCTCTGAGCACGAGCCCTCTCAGCCAAATCAAGACACTACAGCCTTGCTTTCAGCCAGATGGTGATCTTTCATTTTCTTACTGGCAAAAAAAAAAGGTTTGTATTACTTTTTTATGTCATTATGAGATGTTTGTATGGACCATTGAGATCTGGGTGACGCTTGATGTCATATAGGACATCTCTGGGACTGCTGCTGCCACTGTCAGAAGGAGCAAACACTGAGTTTTTGTCTTTACTAGTCCTCAGAAACCCTTTGGTGCCACAAGGACAGAGCTTGTGTTTGTACAAGAAATACTGTTCACTTTCAATATGCAACATCACCTGTTGTGAATGAAATTAAATTATTTTATATATAAAATGGCTATGTAAAATTAATCATTAACAGTTTTAAAATAAAATATTACCTATAATGTAGCTCATAAATCAGATTTTCACTCTGATATTTTTAGTTTGTCATGTTTGCCCCTGCAACTATTATTGCTTGATTTGAAATGTCAGAAAATGGGCTTCATATGCATCACCTGAAGGAACAGTTCCTCCCAGCATAAGGACAAGACAAAATAAGTAAAGCTTCAAAAGCAGTTTTAGCAGGTTTCTTTAGGTATTAAAAATATTGGTAAGAAATATTACTCCACAACATGAAAGAGAATACTAGTAAAAATTATTATTATTGTAAAAACTATTATTATTTACATTCACATAGGCATCTACACCGGCATACTCATACACAGACTACTCTCATACTAGTAACAAATAAAAGAAAAAAATTGGACTGAAAAAAACTGCAAGAAAGGGTGTTGATTCAATGGAGCTGTATAAAATCACTGGAGAAGGAAATCCAAGCTGCACTCTCCCCATATGGTACACAGTGCTAGCTCTTGTACTTGCATTGTGCAAGCAGAAATTCCCACTGATGTGTTGGTTTATGTTCTGTGAATTAGATGTGGGCAGGGGTGAATCCAACAAGGGCTTTTTTTGGGTGTTAGTTACATCCTAGAGGCGACATGTTGTCCAAAGTCAAATGGTCCCACAAGATTCAGTGGTAAAATTTCCTTTGCCACCCACCTATTCTCCAGGTTATTGCTGCCTGTAACTCATTATATTGCCTTTTGAGAAACAAAGAACTGGTGTGCATCTGAAACCTCTTTATGTAGTGTCTTTGACTCTCTATTTATGTGTTCCTGTAGAACCCTGTTAGGAGGGGTCCTCTTCTTAGAAGTTTGACCATTCTTTCCTTGGCCTTGGATCAGCAATTACATTTCAGCCACAAGCATTTCATTCAAACAGGAAGAGAAATATGGCTCCTAGAAGGATGACTTGATATCAAAAATAATTTTTGCAATTTTCAGTTGTTTAAAGATGGTAGCAGTTTAAATGTTATGCAGGAATTGTAGACTAAGAAATCACATTGTCCAGCAATCCTTGAGAAGATGAAATCTATACATTCAGCAGTATGTGTAATGTTTAGTATTGTTTAGACATGTAAGGTAGAAAAATTCTGTCTCTCCACATAGCTATTTGCACTCAGCTGCTTCAGAGGAGAAGTTTTCCCAGTTGTGCCTTCAGAGAGAATTAAAACTACAGTCCTCAGATGCAAGTGATTTCCTCAGAAATTTCCTGCTCTCTCAAGCTCCATCATTTACAATTCATCTTGTCGTCCTGCATATTTCCAACTTTTCTACATAGTCTCCATAAAAAGATGCCCATAAAAGAGGTGTTGAGGGAACTTCCCTGTCTGACTATCCAGGAGCCACACTGGCACCACCTAAGCTGGAACTACAGCCCCTCCATAGCTCTACATCCCACACTCACAGAGTCAGACCAGGGTTCCTCACCATCTCCACTCCAGGTTTCCTACAGCAGAGTTTCAGACATCTTGATCCTTAAAAAAAAATTCTGGTGGTGAAATAACAAAATACCAACTTGAAATGGGTGCCTCCAAGGAGGAACTTGGAACAAGGGAAACCCTGGGCTTTTATACCAGCAGAGTCTAAGTGCTCAGGGGTCTGGAGGCCGTCTCTCCGGCTGCATCTCTGAGTGTCCCTCACCTGGCTGAGCCACAGGTCCATGAGCCCTTTGTTACACAAAAGGTCGGCAGTTCACGGGCTCTTTTCTGGGCTTCCATCGCCCAGAGTTCAACCTGCAGCTGCACACCAAGCTACCTGCACCAAACATCTTTCTCATCACAGGGGACCCCTTGCACCCATGCAAGAGGAGTGCCCAGCTTTCAGATGCTCCTTCTTGGAAGACCAATAACAATTTTGGAACAGAGGACGTGATAACATGCCCATTGTTCACAATCTAAATAACAATGTGCAGCATCAGCTTCCAAATGTCAAGGTCATTTGTGATATTTCTATTTTGAGTAAAATGGTTCCTTACAGTTTCCATGGTTTCACCTGAAATTCGTACTGAGCTTCATTGTTAAGAACCTTGAAACCCGACCATTCTAATAAGAAAAAAGAGATCCTCTTCTGTAGGTAGTCAATTTGACTTTCAAATGAAAAGCAGTCTGTATTTACCCTGGATAGCTTTATGGATCTTTACACTGCATTTGTGAACAAAACCGGGTGTTTGAATTATCCAGTTTGCCTGTCTTTTTGGGCATATTGCACAATAATGCATTTAATTATTTTTACAGCACAGATTTTTTTTTCTACTGTGGAAAGATTGGCTTTCTTGTTTACTTCACGTAAGGAAATATCAGCTTTATTAAAATAAACTATTGAGAAAACATTGTAGGTCACAGTCAATCAAAATGCAAAAGAAACACAAAATGCTTTAGAGATAGATTTTTAAAGTGTATCATTGCTTCAGATTGTATTCTGTATGTCACATTCATCTGTGGGAATAGTAACAGCTATTAGAAATGCCAAATTTTACAGGACAAGATAGTAATTTTTCCATTATTGCTGTTACTTAATAAGTATTAATCAGAAACAGAATGCTGGAAGGAGATTGAAGAATGACTCAGATGAATAAGGCAAGGAATAGTTTAATGAATTTTTAAAACCTCAAAATGCAAAATTAAAACTGTGGATACTAAAAGACAGAAGATTTCCATATTAAGTCCTCCAGTACTGTTCTTGTTGAGTTGCCAGGTTCAGAATAGTCCTCTTTGCAATATTATTGGCATAAACACTGTGTTTTGTCACCAAAATGGGGCAATGCATTACAGTGATGTAGCTTCACTGGTAGAGATAGGATTGGAGCAGATGCTGTGTAGCAAGGAAGCCCATCATCTTATTAAATGGACATCTTTACAGCCCAATTTTAAGCAGAATATGGAACCAGGTCATTATTTAAATCTGTCCTTTCTTTTATTTCTCTTCTGAAGCCTATCTGTTAGTAGACTGTCATCAGCTGAAGCTTTCATAATTCACATGACATCAGTCTGTGGTATTTTTCTCATTTGCTAGTTACTCTTTTTACAGCTGTAGAAGACACAGAAAATGTAAGAACATAGAGGAAAATTGCCATTTTATCTTTGATAAATTGCAGTTTCATGTTGTGAAAAGTCTGTTCATTTTCCCCTTATCAGGCCAAGAGATTTTTTAAAAGCAGTAAATGGGATCCAGCTCACCCAACTGTAGTTGTCTTAGATGTAGCCATTCATGCTGAGTTCATGGACTAAACTCTATATTCAGCAATACAGAGAAAATTCAGTGGTTGACCTCTAGACATCTTTTGTTCTTTATATATATATACAACTAATACTTAGTTTGTGCAAATGTGAAAATGCTTAGAATATCTGTATGCTGACATAGCTCTGAGTAGTTTTGCTTAGTGTCAACAGAATTTTATACAAAACTAAAATGTGTGAGGACTTAAGACTTTGGCTACATATTTTGTATTATTTAAAGTGTTTGCATATATTTCTATATCCTTTGGTGTTATTTCTTGGTTGATACATTTCTCATATGTGGGATTTATTGTCCTTATGGTTTTAGTTATTAGAGAGGAAGAAAAAAAAAGAAAATAAAGCCTTCACATACCTTGTACGATTTCCTACTCTTATTTCATTTGAAATCCTAAAGAAATCTGTAAGAAACTAGAATAATTAGTGTCCAGCTTACTTGTATCCTCCATTCTTCCTATCCATCCCTATTGCCTTCCTCATATGTATGTCCTTCCACAAGGTCTGTCCCACTGCTGTGCCAGCTATGCCAGAAGTCACCTCGTAGGTGTGCAGAAGCATGGCCAGCTCCTAGAGTGTGTGTTCTCTGCACCACAAGGGAGTGGGTGCAGATCACAGAAAGATGAGTTGTTCCTGTAAGC